ATAGTTATAAATTAAAATAACTAAAAAGGGTTTTCGAATTAGAATTTAAGAAAGTATTAGATGATTGATCTCGACTTTTGATTATGAATAGTTATTCAAGTTATATTATAAGTAGCTTTATTGCTTTCTATATAGAGAAGGATATTGATTTATTTATATTATCTTTTTATTGCTTTTATTTACTTTAATTACTTGATATTATAATATATGAGCCAATAAAATAATATTATACTTTAAAGGTTGATTGATATTCTCGAATTAGTATAAAGCGAATCTAAAGAGCTGAATAAATAGAACTCTTTCAAAATATTAGAAAAAAAGTATTGAATTTTTTTAATATTAAAGCTGACTGGAGAGGAGCTAGTTTAGTACCTTTTGCCCTATGAAAAGTACTTGATTTATTATTATTTAACTCCTTTTAGTAATCTTTTACTTTATAAATAAGAACCTCTAATTAAGATCTAGACTTATTTATACTTAGAAGCTCTCCTTCAGATAGGATAGAGCTAAGACAAGCAAATTAGATTTTTAATAAAGCTCTAGTAAATAATGATTCTCTTGTATCATCAACTTGTCGATATATCAAGAAAATGATTAGGCTTGTAGAATCTCAAAATACTAAGATAGCCCTATTTTGGAAACAATTTGCTAATATTCAAAAGATAATTGAGATTCGAAAGAAGAGAATTAAAAGTAAAAGAATTAAATTATAAGATCAATTTGTCTTTAATAATAAAGAATTATTAAAAATAATATATAAAGTGAAGGAAAAACCTAAGGAGAAAAAGCCACAAGAATAATTACATAAATATCCAATTAAAGAATTAGAAAAGGAGATTAAAGAAAAAAAGCTAAAGAATAATTCAAGTAATTTAGAGTTGAAATTAAATGAATATGTAGCTTGTAGAACAAGATCATATAAAGAGAATTGAATTTTGTAACCCGGTTCCCCATATGACCCGGTTCACTATAAGTTACGTTATATAATATTCTATAAAAAATAAAGAAGGAGGTGAAGAGGTGTTGACTATATAGAGGGTGGATGCCTTAGGCATCCATATAACTATATATTGAACCCATGACACTAATTAATAAAATACTTATTAATATAGATTCCTATAAATTATATAAATATTATAGTAACTGTTTTATATATTATCACTACTTAAAAAAAGGATATGTAGAAGGTTATAAATAATCCTAATATTTATAATATCAATTAGGATTTTAATGCTTTCATAATCATCTATAATTTTCATACTTATAAAAAATTACTTGTCATTATTAATATCATTAATATCAATTTATTTATTAAGGTTCTTTCTAAATATTACAATCTTTTTGATATATTTAAAGCTACTATACACATCATAATTAAAAGATTATATTATACTTTCATTATTATTAAAGCTGTTATATGAATACAATAAACAAAGCTATAAAATCTATTATATTCTTTTTCATTTAATTTATCGATATATATCATACTACTATAAATCGTTTCTTGTATTCTTCTCATTACTATTATTAACTAATATAATATGGTTTTTAGAGGAAGGACCTTGATGATAATGATAAAGCTAGTACGGAAGTTACGTCTCTATTCTTTAAGAATGAATATATGAAGTATACATATAAAGTAAAGTATAATATATAATGTTATAATCCTAGTCACGTGTTCCAACAGAATCTTCAAAATAAGTAAATTTACTTTTTTAAAAATAATAAATCTGTTTTTTTATACTTTAAATGTACATAAATCTTTATGAAAAAAGATAATGTAAAAGTAGAGCTTTTATATAATAATATATTTAAGATTTAATATTATAGCTATTAAATTAATTGAATTATTAAAGATTGAAAAGATATTAAAAATTAAGTACTTTTTAAATTAATTTAATAATTTCAGTTACTTCTTTTTCAATCATTTCAATTTCAATTCTTTAGAAACTTTAATATAGTATCATTATTATGTTAATTGATTAGATATATTAATTCTAGTTTATTTTATTGAAAATTGTTGAAGTTATAATAGTTTTCAATATATACTAACTTATACGTCTTTAATTATTTCGTCGAGTTTCGCGAGACCTGATCGATTAGGAAGATCCTCGACCTTTAAGAGTGTAAGATTACCTAGGTACTAGGGTTGGTATATCTTCCAAGTCTGTTCGAACATCTTCCTTTCTTCTTCTGAGTGTAAGATATATGTTGGGAAGATGTAGATGTATAGATACCTCGTAGCTGGAAGTATATGATAAATTTAGATCTGAATGTATATCCTAGTCTCATATCTCATATCTCCAAAACATAGACTAAAAATTGGAAATATAAATCAAAATCCAAAATACAAAGTCAATCGATTAATTCATTGTTTTCAAAGTGAAGTTTCCATCATCTCAATCCTCAATCATCCCACACACACCCGGCATATCCTCGGCCCCAACTCCTAACTCCAGAACCAAAAAAATGCCTCAGGCCCCCACACCTCATCCCGCGCAATAATTTTATATCAAATGCTCTCTCTGAGTGGGTAGTTAGATAGTTCCAAAACTCTCCTCACCACCACATCTTCTCGACTCCTCCCCACTGCAATCCCAACAACTCCCCGAATTCATCATGGCGAAAAAAGGTATGTTATTTCATTCTCTCATACTCCATCCTACACATCAATCAACCCCCAATGTATCTTCCCTCAATTCCCTCAATTCCCCTCCCCATTCCCCCTACCCCTCTCCCTCTCCCTCTCCCCCGCACAAATCACAAACCACAAACTCAACCCAAAACAAAAGCACAAACTAACGCCCTCTCCCTCCCTCACAGCTAAATCCCGTACAATTCCCGTTCGACTCATTTCTATGGCTTTAACCGGCTACTACAAGACGCTTGTTCGGCCGCGGGCGCATCGTCCGCTTAGTATGTTGAAGTATGATCCTGTTGGTGAGTTGTGAGAGTTTCTTTTTTGTTTGGTTCTTAGGGGGGCATGAGGTGGAGGGAGGGACAGGGGAGGGGGTTGGATTGAGGGAAATTGGGGTTGAGGGATTGGGGTTGTAGGTTTGGGGAATGGGATATGAGAGAAGAGATGAGAGGTTCGGAGAGAGAGGATAGATTGAGAAGATGGGAAATCAAGATGTGCTTGAGAGAAGGGAGTGCGAATTGAGAGCGAAGAGGGAATGCAATTGAGAATCCGAAAACTGGGATGGCTATCTATGATTGAGAAAATGGGCATAGAGACAGAGACAGAGACAGAGACAGAGATTGAGATTGAGAAATGCGATTCGCGAACAACAAGGAGAGGATATCGGATTTGGGGAGATGCACAAGCTATGATGGGGAAATGCATCTGCTCGCATTCGCATTCGCATTACTTCGAACAAGAAAGGGAATCTCAAGGAAATCGAAATACATTCGAGTCACACTTCATTTGTCTACGCAGAATGTATACGGCTAATTGATCGCCTCGCCTCGCCTCGCCCCAGGAATACTTCATAATATCCAAATGCATCTGCGCACTTCGGTCTTTCCTCCTCTCCTCTCCGAATCTATAGTCGACTCTTTTACCTCTCTCTCTCTCTCTCTGTCTCTCTCTCTCTCTACTATTACCAACTCGAAATCTCTGCCCGCCAGTCTAGAATCTCAATCCGCCAGCTCAACTTCATAATTATCTCTCCAACGCATCTCTCCCACTCCCACCCACTTCTCCTTCGCATCCCATCGCAACCTCTCCGCCTACCTCAACAACTACACCTCTCCCTTCAAACCCAAACCCACACTCCTCACATCCACAAAAACCTCAACCAAATCCACCACTCCCATTACAATTTCCTCAACCTCTATTGAATCCAAATCCCAAGCTAACCCCCTTTCCCCCTCCCCCATCTAGTCCGCAAAAAGGTCCTCTTCCTCGAACAAAAGCGTGGCGGTGGTAAATAAATAGATCAATCAAACAATCATAATCACAATCACAATCACGTCTATCTACCTATCAATCCATCCATCAACCAAAACACCACACCCAAAATACGCCCTCACCTCATTTCACCTTACTTCAACACACAACACAACACAACACAAAACACAATCTAAGACCCAACAAAGAAAAGTACACATAAAACCCCATAAAAAAAACAAAGATATCAGAAAATGCATGCATGCACTCAGTGATAGAGAAACGTATACATGCTTCTGTAAGGAAGGGAAGGAAGGAAACGAAGGGATGATTTCAGGGCATATATATACCAAACAAGGGAGATACATGCTTATTTGATAATTCTTCGGTATTTACTTTGAGAATACTTCAAAGGGGGGAAAGAGAAGAGCGGAAGAAAATCTCACAAAACCTACCTTCATAGCACACGAGAAGATACCATAGATTTTGTTGATATGGCTGTGAGTATGGATACCATTACTCAGTAAAGAGTGTACAAATAGGTTGCATGGAATGGCGTATGGGATAACATCATGAATACAATCACCATTTTATCATTTCAAGTCACGCGAGACCACGTAGTGCATTTGATTTGATGCAAATATATTAATGCAAATTCTAGGTTTCTAGTTTATCTACCAAAAATTATGCACGAATTTTATCCCTTTAACTTCCCGACATATATAAGCGATATTTGCGAAAAAGCGAAACATATGCTACATATTGTGGACTTGATCCCATGCTTTTCTTATATCATGTAACAACTTTCCACCGCGCAATCCTTTTCAAGCCACCGAAAAACAGCCACTTCAAGTATATTGAAAAAATTCTTTTCCCTTCGACATTTAACGATTGCAAGTCCTTAAAGCAATATTATTTCTCCTTCATACGTTCAAAATTGTAAAAGTCTGCAAGCATATACAGGGAGGGTAATAATCCAGTTGTCATTGATAATAACACTCGAAGGACAGGTGGGTGATGTCATCAGCCCAAGTTGGGCGAATTTAAATTCCGAGGGAGCGAAGCCAGCGGTTGAGTATGACAATGCCTCCCAAATTATAGAGCTTCCACCTTACTGAGAATCTGGAATGATTGTCTTGTTTATTGGCTGGCGGCGGTTGATTCTTGGGGCTTTCGCAGGATTAGTGGGTTGTAGATCCTGGGTATGAATCGATGAATTTGACCTTGCTCTCTTCATAGCGTTTCGCTTGATCTCAGGTGTTGGTTCATATCGAGGTTCTGGTGTTCTTGAGCTTGTGCCTTTCGGTACTCCACTCGCAATACGATTGTAACTGCCCGTACCAGTCCCACGGGTCGCTTGAAGTCCAATACTGGCACCATGATTATTTCTTGGTGCCGGCTTTTTAAAAAGTCTCTCGTCTTGGTTCTGAACTTGATCTTGTGAGGCATCGTGAGGAACAGAATAGTCCTGGTGATCGCCTTTCTTCAAAGCAGATTTGAGTGGCTTGTTCGTTCGGCGTTGAACAGATTCTTCTGCAACTGAAAGAATGGTCCTGGACGCTTGAGTTGGTGTATTGACAAATTCTCCTTCGAGAGTAAGCATGACTTTGTTAATTTTTGACTTTGGGGTCCCAAGGTGTTCTTCTCCATAGTGATAGTACTTGGATCGACTCTCCATCTGTACAATATTATCATTCGATAACTGACGATTCTTGCTGTATACTCGCTGTAAATCTTCCCGGCAATTTGCAGATCTAACCAGTGGCATAACGTCCTCCAAATCAGTCAAAGGGCTTGTTGCGACAGTAGCAATAGTAGAAAATGGTTTGATTGGAGTCTGACTTCCGCCTCTGTTGTCGCCATATGTTTGCGAAGACGATAAAGTTCGTGAAAAGGTTTTTTTTACTTCGTCAGTTTGGATTTCACGGACTCTATGTTGATTTTCTCCCATGCCCTTTTCACGAGTTTGATAATGAAGACTACTAGATCGCCGCTCAGCAGGTTTGCGTGAAGACGATCGATTATCGTTGCGCGATATTGGTCGAATATCATCAACACGATGAGAACTGCCAATCATATTTTGAGTACTTTCAGTCATCGCATTTATGTCATCCAAACGCTTTCGTAAACGATCAATCTCTTTCGTCAGATGCTCATTTTCTTCATGCATTTCACGTAGTCTTCTTTGAGCGCCTTCAAGTTCACCTTTAACTCTAAAACTTTCCTCTAGAAAAGCTTGTGATGATGCATGTTGATTTTCTTGCTCTTTGCGAATTGACAATACTACTTGTTTGTGTTCTTGTTTTAATTTCTGAAACTGAGGAGATATGAAGCGTTCCTCTAAGCTCTGAAGCTGAGTGATTTGCTGCAATAACTGGTCTTTGCATGTAGCTATCTTTGACTCAAGCTCGCTGATAGTTTTCGTTTGCTTATCATTCGTATCTTTAAACGTCTTTGATTCCTCAATTGCGGTTTGGAGTCTTTTCTCAGTTTCTGCTTGTTTGTGTTTGAGGTCATTGACTAAGGAGTCGTGTTGGGCGAGCAACTGCTTTCTTTGAAACAGAGCAAGTCGCGTGGTCTCCTGTCGAACTCTTTCCGTAGTTGAAACGCAATCCATTTGAGACTTTTGATTCTTTACTTCTAATGCCTCAATGGTAGACTTGACACCTCGGAATTTTTCCTCCATATCGCGTAACTGTTTTTGGATGGTAGTAATTGTCGTTTGGTGAGCTTGAATCTCTTTCTCGGCTTGATGCTTGTCATGGTTAGCAGCGGTAAGAAGGCCCTCCAGTCTAGAAGTCTCAGTGGTCAATTCTTCGACCTTTCTCTTCAATTCGGGGTTCTCTCTCGGCTCAGCAAGTGAGATCGCGAGTTGCTGAGTTTTCCCCATTAACTCTGAATGAGCATCTGCCAGCTCTCTAGTTAATTCATTCATTCGGGCGATATTGTTTTCCAAGTCTGCTTCCTTTGAGCTTAGATTCGCCATAAATGTGGCGTTGGTCTCCCGGAGCGTATTGATCTGCTCATTGAGCTTGGTCTTTTCATCCATGTCACCACTGAGTTGATTGAGACGTTCTTTAAGATCGTCAAAGAGCTTGACAGTAGACTCCTGGAAAATAGTGTCCCCACTACCATTATCATCTAACTTCGTTTCAATTCTAGAGTAAAATTCTTCGAGAATCTTCGTCATAGTTTGTGGCCACTCCAATGTTTGGTTGAAAGAACTGGCGAATGTCTTTGTCATTTCGTCAAACTTTCCATTGACACTCTCGGTGGAAATCAAGACCTTTTTGAGAATCCCGTCTTCTTTCGTAAGTTCTCCGAGGGTGTCTACTTGTGGTTTTTGGAGAATTTCCATGACTTCTTTGTGGCGATCCATATCGCCGTTGATTTGATTTTCAAGTTGCTCAATGTGACAACGTTCTTCTTCAAGTTCCACCAATTTTGAATTATAATCAGCTCTGAGGCGTTCATTATCAGATCGAAGTTGATCATTCTGTTCATTCAAAGCTTCCAAGGTTGGAATAGTCTTGTCTCGCTCGCTTTGCTCCTTTCGAACTTGCTTAATTTCGTCCAATAGACGCCTCATTTTCTTCATTTGAGCATCAATATTCCTAATTTCTTGACTCTTTGCTTTCAAATTTCCCATCGATTCCTTCATCTCTTTTGAATCTTGTCTAAGAGACTTCTGGCAAATGACAACACCATTGATGTGTTCTCTATAGCTGTTTGATAAATGATTCAATCTCTCCACTCTCTTTGATAATTCACCTTTACTTGTCTCCAATTCTTCGTTGAGTAGATTTGTATCTTGCAGCCGGGCTTCTGCATCTCGCAACTGAGCATTGAGAATCACGACCTGATTCTCTTGATCTTTGATAACGATTTGTTGTGTCTGGCACTCGGCGATAGCCCAATGAAGAGCACCAAAATCTAGTGAAGATCTATTTTGGCAGCTACTGACGTGATCTCCAGTTTTATTCTTTTCATCTTGAGAATGCACAGCTGCTGATTTGGTGACTTTGGACACACTAAAATGACTCGATGTTAACTCAGATATTTCTTGAGGTTCAAGGTCATGGGGTTTGATTGGTCTATTTACGGATTTTCGGTGAGCCTCATGAGCACCCTGAGTTCGTGGAGTTGTCTGAGATCGAGGTGTGTGAGGTCGGGATATGTTTGCTCGAGATACAGTACGCAAAGGCACCCGATGTGCTGGAGAATGCCGATCGATTTGCGTAACGGGATGACCTGGCCGGAAATTGGGACTCGAAATCGATTGATTAAATTCCTCGGAATCTTCGACCTGCGAATTATCTTCATATTCTACAGGATTCACCTTGGAATCTTCCGTTCTGTTATCCAAGACTTGAACTTCAGAGACTGAAAGAGGATCAGCATTCGTCACTGACTGTGTCATCGTTTCTCGTTGGATGCGTCTGTCATTGGTACGTAATCTCTGGGACTCTGGTACTGTAGCTGCTTCAATCCGATTCTTGGGTAGCTCTTTGTCAGTAGGATGAGGCTCTGAGCATTGGGGCTGTGGTACAGGCACTTCAATTTTGTTTGAAATTTCTCCGTGTACTTGCAATTTCGATTCGTCCGCAAGAGCGTCTGGGAATGGAGGTTTCTTGACTAAGTTACCATAAACACTGATTTTACTCACGCCGGAACGATTCATTCTACGAGAGAGTCAGTCGATAAACTTGGGATGAAAGGGTAAATATGCTTACTGATTCGACGACTTTTGTCTTCGCCGGGGACGACCCGCATAATGGGTTGGTGTAACAGCATTTGGTTGAGATGGAGGCAACCCAACCAGCTTAGATTGTCCACTTTGAGAAGCATTCAGCACCGGAATATTGTTCGATTTGCTGAAAGAGGCCACTTCATTATGACTTGTAGACCGCGGAGTGATGTCATTTGGATTTGAGATAATTCCTTCCGTCTGAAGTGGCGGACATGCCATGCCCTTGGTGGGCTCTTGGATGGGAGGATGGATCGCTGAGTGGTCCTGAACAATGGGTCGTACAGCTTCCTTAGAACCGCAGGCCTTGACTAACAAAACAGAATTGCTATCGGGAATTTGATGATGTTGAAATTTGTTAGGCAAAACTGAAGAGAGACCTCTCGGAGAATGAACCCAGTTTGGTAGAGGTAAGTTGCAAGTATCGGAAAACTGCTCGTTGATCGCCGTGTTTTGAATGGTCGGAGGCGGTATCTGCTCCAGAGCTGGCTTGTCAGATGGACTAGGAAGAACATTGGACATTTGGTGGTGTCTGGGAGCATTGAAGTCTGGTAGAGCGACGCTTTTCGGAGGTCGAGTCGAAGTAGTTAAAGGAATATTGTGGGTATCTAGTAGGTGTTGGCTCGATGGCATATTCTCAACAACAGGGACTACTTCTCTCTCCCCAATTGGCTTCACAGATAGACGGATACGAACATCGGGGATAGAATGAGTTGCAGAGGCACTATTATCTCCAGGATTTGCTTTCTGGGTATGACGCACCGGGTTTATCGAAGGTCTGCCGTGAAGCTCGGGGATAGGAGTAACTGTCAAACCATTAGTATTCAATTGACCTGATAGCTGCGGAGCTCTTTTGCGATCAGCTTACCTTTCGACAATACTTTGGGGGTTCTCTCTGTTGTTTGAGCTAAAGCTCTGGAGGCGGATGCATTCTGGACTGCCGATCCATGGTTTCTTCTAACAGGTGGAGCAGGAAAATATCTGAAAGGAGCTTCTTTGGGCTCCACTGGCCTCGAAAACAATTTTGGTGGTGACATTTTGGTTTGACGGGCAACATTGATGGCTGATCCGTCATTCTCCAGGACATGTGGCTTCTGGAATGATGAAAATGTATCATCGGATTGAGTAGTATCTTCAATAGCCTGAGTATCCATCTCAATGCCTGCAAATTGAGTCTCTTCGATAAACGATCGAGAACCAAGACTGACATTCTGAGTGTCTTTTTGAACAGGCTCTTTTTCACTTTGAATTGCTTGAGTATCTCTCTCAATATCTGCAAACTGAGTTTGTTCAACCAAGGAATTGTGGCTATCTTGTTGAGAAGTGTGAGACGGATATCGATGGGACATCAATTGTGTATTCGAGATAACTTCGTCCGCTTCGGAACTAACATCAACCATTTGTACATCATCAGAATCAAGGTATTGTTCTTCATTTAGAATTGGATCGTGATAACCATCGGCACCACCAGGAAATGCATCGTCAAGGTAATCTTGCTCAGGGGGAGGCGAATGGGGCGGAACAACGATTTGGCTCTCCTGTTCCTCTGGGTTCAAAGCCATTTTGACGGGCGTGAATCACTAAATTCGCATTAGAATTGCATATTCTCGGAATCTGCAGAATCTGAAGAAGCTCCTACCTAAGGAGGTGACAGATCTTTTTCATCTGCGGAGAAATGACGAACATGCAGAATTGATTGGAATTTGTTCACGTCTGGGGTTGATGACCATTGAGTTACAGGATATAATCTCCTCCATTTCCCTTCGCTTTCTAGCTCAAAGAAGTTATTCTGATGAAATCCGCGATGAAGATGACAATGATATGAGGTCTGTTGAATCACGTACACGATGAAGTAAAAGTATACCGAAATGAAGAGAGAGTTGATGTGATGTAAGTCATGATATTGAGACATGAGAGAATAGAACGTGGGGTACAGGTAGAATTTAGGCACACGATGTGTAAATTTGACTATGAAGGCAGGAGCACCTTCGTTCCTTCCTTTCCTACCCCATCTGCCAGCTGAGCCAGTGCAGCTTTTACTGGACTTACCTGGCCAATAATCGAGTGTGAAGGGCATCGTGAAAGTGCCATATCTTACCATGGATGTTTCCATGGTACTTCATTCAATCTCTCCCTATTCTCGTGATAAATGAGGATATATTGTTGTTGGAGACACAGACACGTGATAAACGCGTGATTATCAAAAACTGCTCAACTTCGAGATCAATCAATACCTGAAGCTCACCAAGTAGCTACCAAATAACAAAAGATGATAGAATACCAATTTCACAAATCAGATCTATCGCAGTGTAGAACTCTTACGAGATATGAGACCCAAAAAGTGATCATCCAAGAACGTACTTCACCGCATACCTGTGCCATCGTCAAACATTGTACTGACCGTCACATGCAAGTCACCTGCTGACATTCGCGTCTCCCGCAAGATCTATTTTAAGATGTAGACTTGCCTCATCTTTCCAAGGGCGGTGGTATCGAGTACAATATTCGAATGGATGAGAACATCGGTCGTTCGCCAAACAACACATAAGCACTCGAAAACTCTTCAAACGCTACATGAATTAGCAACATCCAAATTCGTTTGGAAAACCAACACATTTACAGCCCAAATCTCCAAATCTCCAATTGTTCCTCGAGTTCTGATACCAATCAAACGATACATACGTGTAACTACCCATCACATAATCCTCCCCGACGCCTCAAATCCAACCACATACCTAAAGTCCTGGCAGAACCACGAGCACCCGAAACGCATCTATCTTTGAATGTATTTCCCAAGCTCCTCTCAAGCTTGGCCTTATTTTATATCATCTCTCGATCCAATCAATATCGTCAAAATCGAATATGTTGCACATCTTGCGGAATATTTGAATGCTGTACTGTATGTATGTAAGTAAAAGAGTATGAAATATCTTACCCTGCTTTGATATTGCGTGCAGTTCTATATTGCGCGGGGGACAATACAATACATGTTTCTTCAAGAATGGCATCGGAAGTTTACCGACCGAACCGCATACATGTATCAAAGTGCCCCAACCAATCCGTCTGCTTTCCCTCACAAATCCTCAACTCATACCGTCTCACCACATCACTGTCAAGTCTTCACAGCCACTCCAAGATCGTCTCTTCTCACTCCCGCAGAAAATATAGATTCTCGGCAGTCACCAAGGCAATAAGCATGCAATTATAACCTCATCCTTCTTCCCCATAGGTCAATCATTACTAGCGTCAATATGTTGGCGCTTAAAATATTTCCCTCGACGAATCAAACAAACGAACCACACTTCATGCAATATAGTTTGCAGCAAATCTTATACCACTATTTCTGTATGAAACTCATTTATGGAGTCTGGATATAGAGCTATACAAATAGAAGCCACCCATTCAGCGACCACACGTAGGATATCTCCAGTATCAGAATTAAGCTATCATGTAGGAAAAGTATACAGTAGCGCTTAAAGCCATCTATCTACACACCACATACTTACAAGATGGGACAAGGAATAAATATAACCCCTCCCTCCCGTCAATTAATCACACCATTCGTCTTCTTCATCTCCTATCTGATTTGTCCTTTTCTTTAGCTGTCTCAATTTCTGTATGCCACTGTCACTATCACGGCGGCAGGTGTTTAATTGATTTTTTTCTTTCTTCATCCTTTCCTTGATTGTCATTGGTTTCTATGATTTCTTCAACAGGAGTCTAGCGTTCTACATTTGAAATTTTATATATGAAATCTTTGATTCAAGGATTACCTAGTATTTTATTTCATTATGAGGTCCACTGTCCCCCTTACTTTTGTTCTCCTCTCTTCCTTCCCTGATGTAATTTTTGCTCAAAATTCCTTCTTAACATCTACTTCTACCTCGGCACTCATATCCACCACGTCTACACTAGTATCAAGTACCGCTACGAGTTCCTCTCAGTCTCAATTGTCAGCCGAAACACCGTCCCTATCACTTACGACCTCCATATCCCTTACTCCGGCCATGTCTTCCAGCTCCGTTTCCTCGTTTTTTGCCGCACTTGCAACATCCGAGCCCTCAGCACCCAACGATCCACCAGCCGGCGATGCCGCGAGTTCGGCCGGGAGTTCCGGAGCTGATAGTGATGCCGGTGCGTCTGGGACTTCGAGTGGTAGTGTTCAGTTGTCGAATGGAGCTATGATTGCGATTATTGTTGCTGTAATTGGCGTGTGTCTCTTCGGAAGTATGAATCCCTTCTTTAATTCATAGCTTTCTTTTTATCAAACAAACGACCAGGAATTAACATAATACATAGTAATTTCGGCAACACTATTTTACCTCGCGAAGAAACGTTCCTGGGAGGTGCGCAAGAAGCTACGAGCTTCGGCACGCAAAGTAGCCGTTGCTTTAACACCCAGAAGAGCTACATTCGGCAAGGACGTGCACAAAAGACCCGGTGGCCGTGGATTGGAGAGGATAGACGAGGTACCGCCCACGCCCAAGATATCGAAGACATTTGTAAGTGTGAACGATGTGGAGAAAGGAGACGGGAAGATGATGGAGTTCGAATTGTCGGATGCGCCGAAGTCGAAATGGGCGCGGAAGATGAGGAATGAGAGATAGAAGATGGCGATAGCTGCTGGGACGGACGGCTCTTGTTTTGTGTTTTGATGTACGAATGTTTGATACCCATGGAATGAATGATATGAATTGAATGGGATTTGTGGATCATCCCTTCGTCCGGCGAATCATAGCATTTGCGTTTTGGGGAAGCATAGTTTGCAGGTATTTGAGATTTGGCGCTTGAAAATTCTTGTGTTATGTATTATGAAAGGGGTATCATGAAGTCTCAACTTCGGACTATTACAATCTTCTGAAAACGTTTCCACTAGCGCTTCGTCTTGCATCTTCGCGTCTACTCCTGCTGTTGGCAGGCTTGGCTTCTGTCTTCTCTTTGTCTTTTTTACCAGCAGGAGCAAATGTGACCGAACGCTCACCAACAACATCACCCTTGTTTTTGCTAACCCGACCAGTGCCTTGTTTGCGGGCTCCCAAAGCATTATCTTTACGTTGATGACCCGACTTCTTGTAAGACGAGGAAGAAATGCGCATCTCAGCAGCTGGTTTAGGCTTCGATACAATCTCATCTTCGTCACCGCTTGATTCATCCTCGCTATCAACCTTGCGCTGTTTGGTCTCCTCGCCACCACCTGGAACCTTAGTACTAGGATTGAGAGCCTGGAACTCTCTGCTACGCTCATCAACAGCGAAGTCTTCGTCCTCGAAAAGCTTGCCGAAACGCGAGTCACCCAAGACACCAGCATTTTCATCAACCTTCTCCCTACGCTCTTGTCTCTTGAGCACTTTGTCAACCAAGTTCTGGTTGACCTTAACCTTCTTGCCACCTCTGATTCTACTGGCTCGCTCCTTCTCGACCTTCTCCTTAACTCGTTTGGTTCTCTCGTCTTCCCAGACATAAGGGTTGGCAATCAACCTGGCTTGCTCATAGAGTTTGGAAGCCACAAAGTAACCATGCATATATGGTCGTAAAAGATTGGTCGTTCCGATGAGATGACCCAAGTTGAGAGCTTTAAGTTCTGGTACTGTTAAGAACTTGTAATTATCGTAAGTTTCACTTGGTGCTTCCTCTGCCATTTCTTCAACCATGTTATCCAAGAATGAACACCATTTTGGTGCAGGACCCAGTTGTGGAATGAAGAAAGCATGTTGTTGCTTTCCTTCGTTGGCCGTGAGGAGCATGCCACTATTCTTGCACCACGCTACTGAGTTGATGTCCACTGCTGGTTCGACCGATGTCCAGGCTTTTCCGTCTGTTTCGTCCCATAATTTGATGATTCGTTTATCTGCGGATAAGATTTTTTTCTCTTGTGAAGAAGTGGTCATGTGCATCAAAGTTTTGATTGCATAACCATACCCTTGATCTTTGGTCAAAATTGGCACAGGTCGTCGAAGATCATACAATTGTATTATCCCTTCGGAGGATCCTGTTGCAATCGAAATGCCTGATCTGTCGAAATCCAGCGCAGTAATTCCTCCTTGTTGACCCGCGAGAATTCCAACTCTTGCTTTGGATCTTGAATCCCAAAACTCAACCGTACCAATTGATGTCCCAAAAGCCATGAGATTGTGACTTTCTTCGGCAATAGATGCACAATTGACACTTCCAGTATTTATGCCTCCTTGTAAAGCGCCGCCACCAGAAGTCGTCAGGTCATCACCGCCAACATCAATTTGGTATGGTTTCATGTAACGTCCTATCTCGAGATTCAATCGATATACTTCTCCAAGACCGTCTGCATTGACACCAACTGCAGGTATTAATGCTTCCGTTGACGCTCTATCGTAGACAAGGTCACGCCCGTATCGAGGTAATCGAGTTTGATAATGACATCCGCCCTGTGTATGAAATTCGAGTCTGCGATCGGTTTGTAGATGGAGTGATTTTGTGTAATCGCTCGACAGGAGAATGAAGGAATGATTGAGGGTTGTTGTATGTCTTGCGAATGAAAGAGATAAATGAGGAAGATAATGTGTATGGATTTGCGGTTTATATGTGC